ATGTTTAGTGCTCGCCGTCTGCAGTCTCTGATGAAGTGACGAGGATAGTAGAGTTTGGAAAATACCTGTTCAATTATAGTGCATTCTTCCTCAAGGAACTCGTTGCTGCAGATTCTGAGTGCACGCAGGAAGAAGCCTATAATTACACCACGTTTGGTTTTGGTGTCGTGGTGAGAGTAGAAGAATCCTGGAATCATCACTTATTTCTATATCCGACAACTTCAACCAGAATAGTGGCTTCTATAACATAGCTGAACCACTTGCCAAGAAACTTCTTCATCGCTATCCCACATAAGAACACTGTAGAAGGTCTGCTCACAAACTTGTCCAGTCTCCTTTCCAAGCTACCCAAGTTTTTAGACTCTACAACCCAACTCGGTACATCATCAGATGCAGCATTCTTCACCTGACCTCAGCCGGACTATAAATACTCGCGTTCCTTCCACCCCAGGTAGTTCTGTTTGTGACTTGAAAAAGCCCACTGTGTGGGCGAAACGTAGTCAATAAAGGATCACATTATACTGCATTTGTGTTTATATTGCCATTGTGTCGGTATTTTATACCATTTATTTCCAACCCTACCATACACTTTTCCTGGTTTACTCAGTAAACTTATTCCTCTATAATTTTTACAATCTCTTTTGTCCCCCTTCCCTTTATATAAAGGGACTACACATGCTCTCTGCCAATCCCTAGGTACCTTCACCTCTTTCATACATTTATTAAACAAAAGTACCAACCACTCCAACACTATATCCTCCCCTGCTTTTAATATTTCTGTCATGATCCCATCAGTTCCAGCTGCTTTATCCCCTTTCATTCTACGTAATGCCTCACATACCTCCCCCACTCTTATATTCTGCTCTTCTTCACTCCTAAAAGATGGTATACCTCCCTGACCAGTGCATGAAATTACCACCTCCCTTTCTTCCTCAACATTTAAAAGTTCCTCAAAATATTCTCGCCATCTACCTAATACCTCCCTCTCCCCATCTGCTAACTCCCCTACTCTGTTTTTAACTGACAAATCTATACATTCCCTAGGCTTTCTTAACTTGTTTAACTCGCTCCAAAATTTTTTCTTGTTTTCATTAAAATTTCTTGACAGTGCCTCTCCCACTTTATCATCTGCTCTCCTTTTGCACTCTCTCACCACTCTCTTCACCTTTCTTTTACTCTCCATATACTCTACTCTTCTTATAACACTTCTGCTTTCTAAAAACCTCTCATAAGCTAACTTTTTCTCTTTTATCACACCCTTTACTTCATCATTCCACCAGTCACTCCTCTTTCCTCCTGCCCCCACCCTCCTATAACCACAAACTTCTGCCCCACATTCTAATACATGTACTGCATTTTTGAAACTCATCCAACCCTCTTCACCCTCCCCCCCCACTACTCATCTTTGCACTAGCCCACCTTTCTGCCAATAGTCGTTTATATCTCACCCGAACTTCCTTCTCCCATAGTTTATACACTTTCACTTCCCTCCTACTTGTTGTTGCCACCTTAAAGGTTCCCCATTTACATTTACCCCTGGCACCCCAAATTTACCTACTACTCCCTCCACAACATTTTTACCCACTTTAGCATTGAAATCCCCAACCACAAGTACTCTCACACTTGGTTCAAAACTCCCCGTGCATTCACTCAACATTTCCCAAAATCTCTCTCTCTCTCTCTCCTCTACACTTCTCTCTTCTCCAGGTGCATATACACTTACTATAACCCACTTTTCACACCCAACCTTTATTTTACTCCACATAATCCTTGAATTAATACATTTATAGTCCCTCTTTTCCTGCCATAACTTATCCTTCAACATTATTGCTACTCCTTCTTTAGCTCTAACTCTGTTTGAAACCCCTGATCTAATCCCATTTATTTCTCTCCACTGAAACTCTCCCACCCCCTTCAGCTTTGTTTCACTTAAAGCCAGGACATCCAGCTTCTTCTCATTCATAACATCCACAATCATCTCTTTCTTATCATTTGCACAACATCCACGCACATTCAGACTTCCCACTTTGACAATTTTCTTCTTCTTATTCTTTTTAGTAATCTTTACAGGAAAAGGGGTTACTAGCCCATTGTTCCTGGCATTTTAGTTGACTTTTACAACACGCATGGCTTACGGAGAAAAGATTCTTATTCCACTTCCCCACGGATATAAAAGGAAACGTAATAAGACCAAGAACTATTAAGATAAAATCAAAGAAAACTCAGATGAATGTGTATAAATAAACGTGTACATGTATGTGTAGTGTGACCTAAGTGTAAGTAGAAGTAGCAAGACATACCTGTAATCTTTCTTATTTATGAGACAGACAAAAGACACCAGCAATCCTACCATCATGTAAAACATTACAGGTTTTCGTTTTACACTCACTTGGCAGGATGGTAGTACCTCCCTGGGTGGTTGCTGTGTACCAACCTACTACCATATAAATACTTTGTATATATTCCGAGACAATAGTAAATGGCCAAGGCAGGTGTAACTGTCCACCTGTCAGTGTGTTTGTGAGAATGTGAGTACAATTTCAGTACCTAATACTAGTGTCAGAACAAAGATTAGTTACGAAATGACAAGAACTACTATAAATTGTAATTATCAGAACTTGAGAATTATATAAAAGAATATGAAAAATAGAAAAGAAGGTATATCGGCAACACTTATGCAAGCGGCAGCGCTCCATGTTGCTGTCAGGTAATCCCCAAGTGCCTCATATCTCGGTAAGTACTGACTCTAAATTTTTTTTTTATCCTATAACACTTAGAAAAATGTGCTGTTTTTTTTTTTTCAATAAAAAAAAAAAAAGATTTTTTTATTTTTCAAAATATTTGGGGCACTGGGGTAGTGAACGTATATACATGTATACGTTTGGACCGTTTACGGGTTAAAGTGCAGGCATTGTACTTCCCATTTCCAGTACTCAAGTCCGGCTATATAAAAATAACCGGTTTCCCCTGATTTTTTTTTTTTTTCAACAAGTCGGCCGTCTCCCACCGAGGCAGGGTGACCCAAAAAAGAAAAAAAACAATTTTCTTCTTATTCTTTTTAGTAATCTTTACAGGAAAAGGGGTTACTAGCCCATTGTTCCCGGCATTTTAGTTGACTTTTACAACACGCATGGCTTACGGAGGAAAGATTCTTATTCCACTTCCCCATGGATATAAAAGGAAAAGTAATAAGACCAAGAACTATTAAGATAAAATCAAAGAAAACTCAGATGAGTGTGTATAAATAAATGTGTACATGTATGTGTAGTGTGACCTAAGTGTAAGTAGAAATAGCAAGACATGCCTGTAATCTTGCATATTTATGAGACAGACAAAAGACATCAGCAATCCTACCATCATGTAAAACAATCACAGGCTTTCGTTTTACACTCACTTGGCAGGACGGTAGTACCTCCCTGGGTGGTTGCTGTCTGCCAACCTACTACCATATAAATACAGTGGACCCCCGGTTAACGAACTTTTTTCATTCCAGTAGTATGTTCAGGTGCCAGTACTGACCGAATTTTTTCCCATAAGGAATATTGTGAAGTAGATTAGTCCATTTCAGACCCCCAAACATGCACGTACAAACGCACTTACATAAATACACTTACATAATTGGTCGCATTTGGAGGTGATCGTTATGCGGGGGTCCACTTTACTTTGTATATATTCCGAGACAATAGTAAATGGCCAAGGCAGGTGTAACTGTCCACCTGTCAGTGTGTTTGTGAGAATGTGAGTACAATTTCAGTACCTAATACTAGTGTCAGAACAAAGATTAGTTACGAAATGACAAGAACTACTATAAATTGTAATTATCAGAACTTGAGAATTATATAAAAGAATATGAAAAATAGAAAAGAAGGTATATCGGCAACACTTTTGCAAGCGGCAGCGCTCCATGTTGCTGTCAGGTAATCCCCAAGTGCCTCATATCTCGGTAAGTACTGACTCTAAATTTTTTTTTTATCCTATAACACTTAGAAAAATGTGCTGTTTTTTTTTTCAATAAAAAAAAAGAAAAAAAATTTTTATTTTTCAAAATATTTGGGGCACTGGGGTAGTGAACGTATATACATGTATACGTTTGGACCGTTTACGGGTTAAAGTGCAGGCATTGTACTTCCCATTTCCAGTACTCGAGTCCGGCTATATAAAAATAACCGGTTTCCCCTGAATCCCTTCACTAAATATTACCCTGCTGACACTCCAACAGCTTGTCAGGTCCCAAGAACCGCTTGTCTCTGTTCACTCCTATCTAACAAGCTCACACACGCCTGCTGGAAGTCCAAGCCCCTCGCCCACAAAACCTCCTTTACCCCCTCTATCCAACCTTTTTGAGGACGACCCCTACCCCACCTTCCTTCCCCTACAGATTTGTACGCTCTCCATGTCATTCTACTTTGATCAAGTGTCTCTAAATGACCAAACCACCTCAACAACCCCTCTTCAGCCCTCTGACTAATACTTTTATTAACTCTACACCTTTTCCTAATTTCCACACTCCAAATTTTCTGCATAATATTTACACCACTCATTGCCCTTAGACACGACATTTCCACTGCCTCCAACCACCTCCTCGCTGCAGCATTTACAACCCAAGCTTCACACCCATATAAGAGACTTGGTACCACTTTACTTTCATACATTCCTTTCTTTGCCTCCATAGATAGTGTTTTTTGTCTCCACATATACCTCAACACACCACTCACATTTTTTCCTTCATCAATTCTCTGGTTAACCTCATCTTTCATAAACCCATCTGCTGACACGTCAACTTCCAAATATCTGAAAACATTCACTTCTTCCATACTCCCTCTCTCCAATGTGATATCCAATTTGATACCCTCATCACCTTACTCTTATCTATGTTCATTTTCAACTTTCTACCTTTACACGCATTTACATTTTTTTTTTTTTTTTCAACAATAATACAAATGTATTATCATAAATGTTGTACAGAAGCAACAAGCAACATTTTTTGTATATAATTTTAGGTTACTGGAGGAAGGTAACATGTCCGCAGCCGAGGTTATGAAAACTCAGCTCGAGCAACAACAACGGGAGAGACGCAAAAATCGTGAAGAAACAGGTGTTGAACATGTACCTATGTGGTTTAGGTGAGTAATACTTCTATACTTTTTTTAATGCACCAGTTTTCTCCTGCTAAGGTAAAGCAATTCCCCAAGATATGAGATTAATGTGTCCTACAAGATGCTTTGCTTCATGAAAACTCATATTACAAAAACATATTTAACATTACCTCAGCTTCATGTAAAGCACCCTTCTGGCAAGACAGTGATGGAGTGAATGATGGTGAAAGTTCTTCTTTTTCGGGCCACCCTGCCTTGGTGGGAATCGGCCAGTGTGATAATAAAAAAAAAAATAACGTTCCAAAATAATCAAACAGCATTACAGAATCAAAAAAATACAGTACAAAAAGTGTAATAACTTTTAGTTAACCAATTACGAAAACACTCGTTTGTGATTCTTATATCAGGAAAAAAAGAGACGTTTGTGTGTTGGTGTTGGGTACTAGAAAAGGATTCTCGTATTCGGGGGAATTGCTGTAGTGTGTCCCAGAAAAAGAGGAAACACACTCACCATCACTCATGCCTGTTGCATTAGCACATTTCAGCACAGTTAATCTGCCCTTGGCATCCTTAACTCCTGTAAGAGCTCTCTCATCAGCTGTAACCATTGTTCTTCTGGGGCAATAATGCCAGAACAGCGACAGTGTCTCATCAGCATTGTAGATTTGTTCTGCTGTTAGATTCTTATCAACAGTCTTGGCAGAAACATCAGTGTGTGTGTGTGTGTGTGTGTGTGTGTGTGTGTGTGTGTGTGTGTGTGTGTGTGTGTGTGTGTGTGTTTGTGTGTGTGTGTGTGTGTGTGTGTTTATGTGTGTGTGTGTTTGTGTGTTTTGTGTGTGTGTGTGTGTGTGTGTGTGTGTGTGTGTGTGTGTGTGTGTGTGTTTTGTGTGTGTGTGTGTGTGTGTGTGTGTGGGGTGTGTGTGTACTCACCTAATTGTACTCACCTAATTGTGGTTGCGGGGGTCGAGACTCAGCTCCTGGCCCGCCTCTTCACTGATCGCTACTGGATCCTCTCTCTCTCGGGCTTCCTGAGCTTTGTCATACCTCTTCTTAAAACTATGTATGGTTCCTGCCTCCACTACTTCACTTGCTAGGCTATTCCACTTGCTGACAACTCTATGACTGAAGAAATACTTCCTAACGTCCCTGTGACTCGTCTGAGTCTTCAGCTTCCAGTTGTGACCCCTTGTCCCTGTGTCCCCTCTCTGGAACATCCTATCTCTGTCCACCTTGTCTATTCCCCGCAGAATCTTGTATGTCGTTATCATGTCTCCCCTGACCCTTCTGTCCTCCAGTGTGGTCAGTCCGATTTCCCTTAACCTTTCCTCGTACGACATTCCCTTGAGCTCTGGGACTAGACTTGTTGGAAACCTTTGTACTTTCTCTAACTTCTTGACGTGCTTGACCAGGTGTGGTTCCAGACTGGTGCTGGGATACTCCAGTATGGGCCTAACATACACAGTGTACAGTGTCTTGAACGATTCCTTATTAAGGTATCGGAACGCTATTCTCAGGTTTGCCAGGCGCCCGTTTTGCTGCAGCGGTTATTTGGTTGATGTGTGCCTCCCGGGGATGTGCTCGGTGTTATGGTCACCCCAAGGTCTTTCTCCCTGAGTGAGGTCTGTAGTCTTTGTCCACCTAGCCTATACTCTGTCTGCGGTCTTCTTTGCCCCTCCCCAATCTTCATGACTTTGTATTTGGCTGGATTGAATTCGAGAAGCCAGTTGCTGGACCACATGTCCAGCCTGTCCAGGTCTCTTTGCAGTCCTGCCTCATCCTCGTCTGATTTAATTCTTCTCATCAACTTCACATCATCTGCGAACAGGGACACTTCAGAGTCTATTCGTTCCATCATGTCGTTCACATATATCAAAAATAGCACTGGTCCTAGAACTGACCCCTGTGGGACCCCGCTCGTAACAGGCGCCCACTGTGATACCTCTTCACGTACCATGACTCGTTGCTGCCTCCCTGTCAGGTATTCCCTTATCCATTGCAGTGCCCTCCCTTTTACGTGCGCCTGATCCTCCAGCTTCTGCACTAATCTCTTGTGGGGAACTGTGTCAAAGGCCTTCCTGCAGTCTAGGAAAACGCAATCTACCCACCCCTCTCTCTCGTGTCTTACTTCTGTTACCTTGTCATAAAACTCCAGGAGGTTGTGATACAAGATTTGCCTTCCATGAACCCATGCTGGTTTTCATTTATAATCTTGTTCCTTTCCAGGTGTTTGACCACTCTCCTCCTGATAATCTTCTCCATGACTTTGCACACAATACATGTCAGAGACACAGGTCTGTAGTTAAGTGCCTCGTTTCTGTTTCCTTTCTTAAATATGGGGACTACATTAGCTGTCTTCCATTTCTCAGGTAGTTGCCCAGTTTTCAAGGGATGTGTTGAAGATTGTGGTTAGAGGCACGCACAGCATCTCTGCTCCTTCTCTAAGGACCCATGGGGAGATGTTGTCCGGTCCCATCGCCTTTGAGGTGTCAAGGTCACTTAAGAGCTTCTTCACCTCCTCCTCAGTTGTTCGTATGTCATCCAACACTTGTTGGTATATTCCCTCTTGATGTTCCCTTCTGTGCTGTCTTCCCACAGCCCTTCCTGTCTCTACTGTAAAAACTTCCTTAAATCTCCTGTTCAGCTCCTCACATACCTCCTGATCATTTCTTGTGAGTTCTCCACCTTCTGTCCTTAATCTGATCACCTGGTCTTTGACTGTTGTCTTCCTCCTGATGTGGCTATACAACAGTTTCGGGTCAGTCTTGATTCTCGATGCTATGTCATTTTCATACTGTCGCTGGGCCTCCCTCCTTGCCTGTGCGTACTCATTCCTGGCTCTGCGACTGATCTCCCTATTTTCGTGTGTTCTCTGCCTTCTGTACTTTTTCCATTCTCTATTGCACTTTGTTTTTGCCTCCTTACACCGTCGGGTAAACCAGGGGCTCGTTCTGGTCTTCCCGTTGTTACTGTTGCCCTTGGGAATAAACCTTTCCACTGCCTCCTTGCATTTTGTTGTTACATATTCCATCATTTCATTTACTGGCTTTCCTGCCATTTCTCTGTCCCACTGGACCTCCCGCAGGAACTTCTTCAACCCTATGTAGTCCCCTCTTTTATAGTCAGGCTTTTCCCATTCAACTCCTGTTATTCTCTCCACTTGCAGCTCTACTATGTATTCAAAGCACAGAACCACGTGGTCGCTAGCTCCTAGGGGACTCTCATACTTGATGTCCTCAATATCTGAGCTGCCCAGGGTGAACACAAGGTCCAATCTTGCTGGTTCATCCTCCCCTCTCACTCTGGTAGTGTCCTTAACATGTTGGTGCATGAGGTTTTCCAGCACCACGTCCAACATCCTGGCTCTCCATGTTTCGGGACCCCCATGTGGCTCCAGGTTTTCCCAGTCAATCTCCCTGTGGTTGAAATCCCCCATAACCAGCAACTTTGCTCTGCTGGAGTGAGCTCTTCTTGCCACCTCAGCAAGTGTGTCCACCATTGCTCTGTTGCTCTCTTCATATTCCTCTTTTGGCCTCCTGCAGTTCTGTGGTGGATTATACATCACTGCAATGACCACTTTGTGTTCCCCAGACTGAAGTGTACCTGCTATGTTAGTCTCTTTCTCCCGTCTCATCTATTCCTTCCATTTTCTCGAATTTCATCTGTTTTTTTACGAGCAGAGCAACCCCACCTCCCCCCCTGCCCCTTCTATCTTTCCTCATGATCTGGTATCCTAATGGGAAGATTGCATCTGTTATTGTCTCCATGAGTTTTGTATCTGTAACTGCTATGATGTCTGGGGACTTCTCATTGATTCTTTCTTGCCATTCCTCATGTTTATTCGTTAATCCATCTGCATTTGTGTACCAAACCTTCAACTTCTGTTCTAATACTGTAACTGTGGTGCGGGGGGTGGAAACAGAGGGATCGGTGTGTGATGGTTGGTTTGGATTGTTCAGTTGCCTTGGGGGTGTCGTGGCTGGAGTCCTTCTGCAGGTGTTTCTGGGGGTGCGCTTGTCCTTCCATTTGATCCTGGGTTATTCTGCTCTCCTTTTTCATTTCCTCCCATTTCTCCTTTCGTTTTTGAACTCTCTCTTTCATTGTCTTCCTTTCATCCTGTGTTCTGTCTCGATCGAGGTACACACTCCAGAACTCCTGCTTGCCTCTCAGCCGTGCTTTCTCCTGCAGGATCATGGTTCGGGTTGATTCTGCCTTGAAAATTACTTTGAGAGGCCGATTCCTTTTCTTTGTGAACCATCCAATTCTTCGAAAATTTGCCACCTGGGTCATGTCCCCCTCGCCTATCACCTTCATGATATCTTCAATTGCTTTTTTCTCCTCCTGCTTTCTTTCATCATAAGTTTCCCCTTTAGCTTCGTCTAGCCCATAGACAAACACGGATCTTTCCCTTTCCACCTCCCACTGTGACTCCCATTGCATCCTCTGATGTGTTTTAGTTCCTTCCCGTGGAGTGTTCCTTCCTTCAGTCCCTTCCCTAGTTATGGCCCCTATGCTTCTTGGTTTATCCTTCCTGCTCACCTGCTCCTGGCCCCCACAGGTATCTGGTAAGGTCCTTGCACATGTCCTAGTTCCTTCAATGTCTTCCAACCTCTCATTCTGTCCTAGTGTGCTCCCTGTCTTTGTTTTGGCCCCATGTGGGTTTGACAGGACCTCTGCATACAGTTTAGTTTCCATGCTTCCTTCAGACCTGTTGTCTGTGTTTGATGTAGCCATTGCCAATGCTACTTCTGTAATATCTTTGTCTCTGTGCTGTTTCAGATGTCTCAGCTCCTCTTCTAATCTCTCTATCTTGATTTCTGCTGCTGTGGCCTGTTGCTTCCACCTTCTGCATTCTGCTGCTAACCTCTCTTCCATCTTCCTTTCCAGCTCATCTAGTCTCCTTCCCCAGTCTTCCTCCCTTTTTTTGAGCTCTACCTCCCATTCCTCCCTCCCAGATTTGTCCTTGGAGCCCCTTGTCCTCATCCTGGTTAGGGGGAGGGGAATAGATGGTTAGGAGAGGGGATGGATGGTTGTGGGGGAGGGGGAGGATGGTTATTGGAGGGTTAGAGATAGTTGGGGGAGGGGGTTAGATGGTTTGGGGGAGAGAGGGGATGGATGGTTATGGGGGAGGGGGAGGATAGTTATTGGAGGGAGGGAGGTAGTTGGGGGGGTTAGACGGTTTGGGGAGGGGTTAGGTGGTTTGGGGGAGGGGTAGGTGGCTAAGGTGAGGTGGTTAGGGAAGGGGGAGAGGTGGTTAGGGGGAGGGGGGTACGTGTTTGTGTCAAGTGGTGGAGGTTGTGTGGGGGTGTATGTGCATGTGTGTGTGCATGTGTGTGTGCATGTGTGTGTGTGGTGTGTGTGTGTGGGGTATGTGTGGTGTGTGTGTGGTGTGTGTGGTGTGTGTGTGTGTGGGGTATGTGTGGTGTGTGTGTGTGTGTGGTGTGTGTGTGTGTGGTGTGTGTGTGTGTGATTGTGTATATGTGTGTGTGTATATGTTTGTGTGTGTGTGTGTTGTGTGTGTGTGTGTATGTGTTTATGTATGTGTGTGTATGTGTGTGTGTGTTTGTGTGTGTGTGTTTGTGTGTGTGTGTGTGTGTGTGTTGTGTGTGTGTGTGTGTTGTGTGTGTGTGTGTTTGTGTGTGTGTGTGTGTGTGGTGTGTGATGTGTGTGTGTGTTGTGTGTGTGTGTGTGTGTGTGTGTGTGTGTGTGTGTTTCTGTTGTGTGTGTGTGTGTGTGTGTGTGTGTGTGTGTGTGTGTGTGTGTGTGTGTGTACAATCAGCAGATGTTTTATTATCACTGATCTTTTAAATATTTAATGCTATGGCTTTTCTTCAATTTTTGTAACCAGCTGCTGAATATTCAGTTGCCTTCAGTATTCAGTTTGTCATGATAGATTTTTACTTGTTTCATGATAACTATTCCATTAAGCAGCATACACAAACTCTGACTTTAAACAATCCACTCCATCAATACACGAAGGAGATCATTTTTCCTCTTCGCAAGTTTTCTTCTTATTTTCCGTTAACTTTTGTTCATCACTTAGGGCATAGAACTTCAACAATTTGTCCTTCTGTGCCTTTAGGACATAGATAATGGTTGTTCCATTATCTATGCTTCACACTTGCACCATTCTCAAGTTTTTCCTGCAACTTGAATTTCTGTGATATAGATAAACAGAAGTGCTTCCTCTTTCTATTTTCACTATTACCCATAGGACTTTTCAGTATTTCAACAGTGTCTTCACACCACAGATCTATTATAAATATGAAGCTCATCTGTCTGGGCTCAACAGACGGAGGATCAAGCCTCCACCACATCTTGTGCTGAATGATCCATATGTAGTGCTTCATGTTAACAGCAGAAAAACTGTACTTGGTGATCCATGGAACTTGAACACAGAAGATAGCTTTTTGTAATTGAATCTGTACATAGAAAATAGCTTTTTATAATTCCAAATTCTGTAATCCTACGAAGAAAAAATTGTTCACTGTTTGGCTGACGAGGATTTTTCCCCTAATGTCTAGTTTAGGGACTAACATTTGGCGTTAGTCAAATTATGAGATATTTACTGTATTTTCCAGTGTATAAGGTGCATGAGCATACAAGACATTGTTTCCAAGGAGTTGTAACAACATAAGTAAACAACTGCTAAAGTGTAACGTAAAGCCTACCCTTGGGCATATAAGGCCCAGGCTGATTTTTCCAAGACTTTTTGTGAAGAAAAGCATGCCTTATATGCCAGAAAATATGGTGATTTCAAGTTTTTTTGAATATCTGTAAAGAAACTTAATATTTTTTATTCGTGTGAATGAAATTGTGTATTTTTTTCAGACGTGAAATGGATTTTAGCAAAGAAGAGTCATGGGTATTTACCGGTGAGTATTGGAACAAACGCAAGGAACCAGGATTTATTAACATGACATTCGAGAAACTATGGTAGTAAGTAACTGAAAAATTTAATTATTTTTTGACGTATGAAGTTATGTATATTTATATTTTATCTGCTGGTAGAAGACCAGAAAAATAAAAAAGATATAAATCAGAAATTTAGCAATATCAGACATTAATGCAGTAATTCTGAAGCATTGTGTAGTCTTAGCAAGCGCACCTTGCATATAATAATACAGTGGACCCCCGGTTAACGATATTTTTTCACTCCATAAGTATGTTCAGGTGCCAGTACTGACCGAATTTGTTCCCATAAGGAATATTGTGAAGTAGATTATTCCTTTCAGACCCCCAAACATACACGAACAAACGCACTTACATAAATACACTTACATAATTGGACGCATTTGGAGGTAATCGTTATGCGGGGGTCCACTGTAATTATATTCAAGAGTGACAGTAGAATCATCTGAATCATAAGAATGACAGTATGATAAAAGAGAGAGTATAATCATCAGGATGGTAAGAGTGACAGTATGATAAAAGAGAGAGTATAATCATCAGGATGGTAAGAGTGACAGTATGATTTGTATATTGCATATCAAAAATTACTATTTTCAAGAAATGTATGATCCGTGGTACTTTACACTATCACTTAAGTGTAACTGCACACATTTCTATCCTCTTATTGATTCAGAATTTGAGTATATTCATGATCATACACACTAGAAAAGTGATGTGCTTTCAGCTGAGACTTACAAGTATGACAGATTCCAGACTCTTACCAGACACTGGTATCCTGTTTATGCAACTATAGTATATTATTGAAACTCTGGTGATTCTTGTGACTTACAGAAGTCTTTGATGCAGAAGCAATATACAGGAGTGCCCCGCACTTTTTTTCAGTGTTCTACGTTTTTGTTGGCTTTTAATTGAGCCATTGTTCCATCTGCCAGTGCCTATTGCCAGCGGTGGAACCTAATGAACAATGGCTTAATTTGAAATCGACGAAAACATGGAACACCGAAGAGGTGGTGGTGTGTATGTGAGGCCCTCCTGAGAATTAACTCTGTACCCTGTTTTAGGGATTACAGTATTCTTGACTGATGGTGTACACATGACACTCAGCCTTAATGACCCTTGTTCAGTCAGTAGGCTTTAAACCTAACAGTTCCTGGAGACAAACACTTGTAATGTGAGTTTTTACGTCTGTTGCGAGAATTTTGTCTCCAAACACGTACCTCTTTCGTACCATATATTATGCAAATATGGCGAACAAGCGATATGAGATGCAAAACAACCAAGGGGAGAGCTGAATGATAGCTCTGGTCCTTTCATGTTGCAATCCACACATCAGGAGCTTGCAATGATGCAGAAAAGAGGAGGAGGAGGTCCAAGCAAATACGCCCTTGCTGGAGCTAGGGCATTCCTTGTGACTGTATTTTCTTGGGCCACCACCCCTTTTCTGCACTGCATACCCCTGATGTGTTGATTGCAACACGAAAGGCCTAGAGCTATCGTTCATCTTCCCCCATGGTTGTTTTTCATACTATACATTATCTGATACATCACAGTGCTCTGTATATTTAGCATTCACTACACTTTTGAGTAAACAAAATACAGTAGTTTCTATACTTTTCATGTTATTGAATTCCTGACTGTTTTCCTCATAGACACCTGTGTTATAATCAGAGATGCATTCCTAAGCAATAATATTTTGCATCTGATCTCACTTGATTTTACCATAGATATTTGTCCAGTATTTTGCATTTAGTACTGCTGCTTCTTACTAATGTTAAATATTGTTTAAATAATGTATACATGTGGGGGTAAGTGTATACATGTTAAAGAGTGCTACAATACAATAGTATACAGTAAAGTATACACCAGTCTGGTATACAGATCAGTATAGAGTATAGTATTTACCTTGAATGCTGATGGTGTTTGGCTCGCTGGAATTGATGTTTCTTGCTAATCTGAATCAGTTAAGAGAAGTAGAGGATGATGGAATTAGTTGGGAGAATCTGGGTATTTTTCAGCAGTTGTGGCAACTTGGAAGTTCATGTGACTGGGATTACTGTGGAGCTTAAGTAATTTTATGTGACTGGGATTATTGTGGAGCTTAAGTAAGTTTATGTGACTGGGATTATTGTGGAGCTTAAGTAAGTTTATGTGACTGGGATTATTGTGGAGCTTAAGTAAGTTGATGGCACTGATGATTTGCTCAGAAATATCTATAGCATTTTGTTCAGTTTTGTTGACTTTTACTGTAACATATTGGACAGTTCCTTCTGTCAACACACCGGCCGCATCCCACCGAGGCAGGGTGGACCACCGAGGCGGGGTGGACCACCGAGGCGGGGTGGACCACCGAGGCGGGGTGGACCACCGAGGCAGGGTGGACCACCGAGGCAGGGTGGCCCAAAAGAAAAAACGAAAGTTTCTCCTTTTACATTTCATAATATATACAGGAGAAGGGGTTACTAGCCCCTTGCTCCCGGCATTTTAGTCGCCTCTTACAACACGCATGACTTACGGAGGAAGAATTCTGTTCCACTTCCCCATGGAGATAAGAGGAAATAAACAAGAACAAGAACTAGAAAGAAAATGGCAGAAAAGACAGAGGGGTATGTATATATATTCTTGTATATGTATGTGTAGTGTGACCTAAGTGTAAGTAGAAGCAGCAAGACGTACCTGAAATCTTGCAGGTTTATGAAACAGAAAAAAGACACCAGCAATCCTACCATCATGTAAAACAATTATTGACACTGATATAATGATTTTTATTTTTGGACCGAAACTTAGAAACCTTACCTAATCTCTCTTCAGTTAGCAGAGTTTTTTTAGCTAAATTCTGCCATGGTAGTTCAGGTTTTTCATTAGTAAGACTAACATCATGCGAATCTAATACTGGCCTGTCTTCACAGGCCTGGAATATTAATTTTTTCACTTTTCATCTAAATTGTTTCAAGATTTGAGGTGATTGTTGTCTTTGTAAGCAAATGAGTTTGTTCTGCTTGTCCATTACTGCTTGCCCAGACCAAATTATGACATGTTCTTGTGAGTTAAAATCAGCAACTAGTGATGCTCTTCTCACAAAACCTGTTTTTCCTTCCTATCCCATCTTTTACACTCAATCTCCCTCCAAGTCTTTTCTTTACATAAAAGCCATGCTGAGAGTTTGTCTACTCCACATCTTGCAACACAGTGTCAACTCTGTTGACTTACTTCTCCAGCACTTCCTTCAGATGCTGGTCAGACTCATGAGAATTATATACCAAACGAGAGGTCAGTTTCTTCTTAACACCTTTCATAGTTGAAGGTAAATTGCCAGACAAGTGAAAAATGGCACATATGAAGGATTAAGGAGTTTATTTCCTTGCATAGTTTACAAGGTGTAATTGCAATACAGTGGACCCCTGGTTAACGATATTATTTCATTCCAGAAGTATGTTCAGGTGCCAGTACTGAACGAATTTGTTCTCATAAGGAATATTGTGAATTAGATTAGTCCATTTCAGAACACCCAAACATACACGTACAAACGCACTTACATAAATACACTTACATAATTGGTCGCATTGGGAGGTGATCGTAAAGCGGGGTCCACTGTATTGATATGCTTAGTGCAAAGAAAGCCACTATCAAGCTGAGGCATTTCAGGCAGACCAAACCTAGTGCTTCACAGACTACTTAGTATTAGACATATACGTATATCAAAGTTCATTCTGAGCGAACATTGCTTTTTATATATCAACAGAAGTAGTAGTGGTTTAGCAGTAATTAACCCGTAAACAGTCCAAACGTATATACGTATACGTTTTTTCAACATTTGAAAGTATGTAAAAAAAGTAGATCTTTTTTTTGTTTTGTTTTTTACATTTGAAAATGTGTAAAAAAACTTTGTTCTACTTTTTTTTGTTATACAGTGGACCCCCAGTTAACGATATTTTTTCACTCCAGAAGTATGTTCAGGTGCCAGTACTGACCGAATTTTTTCCCATAAGGAATATTGTGAAGTAGATTAGTCCATTTCAGACCCCCAAACATACACGTACAAACGCACTTACATAAATACACTTACATAATTGGTCGCATTCGGAGGTAATCGTTATGCGGGGGTCCACTGTATTTGAAAATATGTAAAAAAAACGTAGATCTACTTTCGTATCACTACACATGTGAACGTAGATCTGCTTGGACTGTTTACGGGTTAAATTAGCAAGTAGTTGAAAAACAATTTACAGTATTATATTTTAGCACATTATACATAATATTTCCAAAACTATAGCTATGTTGTGTTGACAAGAGTTGTTAAAGTCACTAAAGTTGATATAACACTTAGAGAACAGAAACCTGTTGAAAACTGGCTAATGTGACTGGCAGTGTGGGTGACATGTTTTGGCAGGTGGACATTAAAAGTATGTAAGCTTCCTCACACTCACTTTCTCCTACTTGCACTTTCTCATTCACTCATTCTCATGCTCACTATATATCTCACTTTCACATTCTCTCTTACACATTCACATTCTCTTACATATTCACATTCTTACTCCCACTCATACAGTCTCTCTCTCGCACACACAATCACAAACATAATCACACACAATTACACACACAATCACACACACAATCACACACACAATCACACACACAATCACACACACAATCACACACACAACACAAACATAATCACACACAATTACACACAACAATCACACACACAATCACACACACAATCACACACAGTCACACACAATCACACACACAATCACATACACAATCAGACACAATCACACACACACACACACACACACACACACACACACACACACACACAATCACACACACACACACACACAATCACACACAATCACACACAATCACACACACAATCACACAACACAATCACACACACAATCACACACACAATCACACACACAATCACACACACAATCACACACACAATCACACACACAATCACACACACAATCACACACACAATCACAAAACACAATCACACACACAATCACACACACAATCACACACACAATCACACACACAATCACCACACACACACACACAACACACACACACACACACACACACACACACACACACACACAACACACACACACACACACACACACACACACACACACACACACACACAACTCATTGTCTCTCTCTCACTCTCCCTCCATCTCTAACATTCATTACAGTCTAACATGGGGTCAGTAAGGTACGGATGAAGAATTTCACTTTTTAAAAGTCTCCTTATATAATATTCACCATTAGACATATTGTACACCATCAGGCACTGTACCCCAGGCATATTGTGTACCAGACAGTATATTGTACACCATCAGGCACTATACTCCTGCATATTGTATACCAGACAGTATATTGTACACCATCAGGCACTGTACCCCAGGCATGTTGTATACCAGACAGTATATTGTACACCATCAAGCACTGTACCCCAGACATTGTACACCAGACAGTATATTGTACACCAGGCACTGTACCCCAGATATATTCTACACCAGACAGTATATTGTATACCAGGTACTGTACCCCAGACATGTTGTACACCATCAGCCATAATACATTGTACACCATGAGCCATAATATATTGTACACTATCAGCCATAATATATTGTACATCATTAGACATTGTACATCGTCAGATATATATTGTATACTATGAGACATTTTAAATGCATTGAATCTCAGTGAAGAAACACCAAAAAAATCTCACAATGTTTACAAATGATAATTTAATGTAGAGTATCCTCATTATTATTTTATTATAAATATTCAAATACAGTGGACCCCCGGTTAACGATATTTTTTCACTCCAGAAGTATGTTCAGGTGCCAGTACTGACCGAATTTGTTCCCATAAGGAATATTGTGAAGTAGATTAGTCCATTTCAGACCCCCAAACATACACGTACAAACACACTTACATAAATACACTTACATAATTGGTCACATTCGGAGGTAATCGTTATGCGGGGGTCCACTGTATATAGGTTTCTCACAACTCACAATTTGCAAGATGGAACACTGGGCGATGTTTACATTAGTTCTCGATTAGTATCAAGTTACGAACTGTTTATTTTTATATTTAATCCATGGGAAACGCTGAAGCCATGGGGGTCATAGAGTGCCTTGGAAATGGGAGGCCATCATGTTCTGTAATGTTTAGTCCAAGGAAATGGTGGTCAGGTAGTGATTAGTCAGGATTTTAATCTGGAAGGGGATTTTAAGTTTGTGTGATGGTGAAAATTCAAAGAAATTGGTATAAAAATGTGTTTTTTAAAAACATTTTCTTGAATCGTCATGCTTTTGTGGTTACTAGTCAGTATAGTACAGTGAAAAGTGCCCAATAATTGCGAGAAAAATAAAATATTTGTATCTGGGGGGCTTTAGCCTCTTTAAACATCCCAACCTGCCCTCCCTATAGCTTCAACATTGTTGTCAGGTCACAGGTCACATTGTTTGGATGAAGAACCCCTCATTGGCATCAAGGAACCTCCTTTAACCCTGAAACTGTCCAAACGTAGATATACGCTGACGTGCGGCAGGCTCCGAACGTAGATCTGTTTTTTTTTACATGCAAAAGGGGAAAATCAAGGTCGGAGCGCTACACACGTGAACATAGATCTACGTTTGGACAGTTTAAGGGTTAATAATGGTCCAGGATTTAGTGAAGCTTCATATTACATTTTCTCTCTCTAAATTGTGGGTTAGTTGTGAATTGTTCCAGCCATATTGTTGTGATTTCCATTCCTCATATTTTTTTTAATTAAGATTTTGTGTATAGCTCACTTTTGTGTTCACAAGTATATTTTTTTATTATGTTTATAAGATGTTGAGATTTTGCACATTACTGTATTAAATAAGATACAAGGTTTTGTAATACCATGTTTGCTACAGTCTTCATAAATGTTCATTTACTCAGGTATAATGGGACAACAATGAAGCGTAGTGTATTGCAAATATCAAGACTTTTTCAGTAGTATTTCCTTAACCCTTAAACTGTCCAAACGTAGATCTACGTTTGCGCACGTAGCGCCCCGACCTTGATTTTCTCCGTGAGAAAGCATTTAAAAAAGAAAGTAGGTCTACATTTGGAGCTCTACGGGAGCAAACGTCGATCTATGTTTGGACAGTTTAAGGGTTAATATACCTTTGTATTTTCTCATTTTACTATGAGTAAAATAAGCAAGACTCGTTTTAAAAATATATATTAAAAGGTATTATAATAGTGTTTACGGGGATTTTTTTATTAAATGGTATGTATGGGTATTTATTCCTCATTACTTTTCTCTTTTTTTATGTATTCTGCTTAGAGTATAAGTGTCTTGGTGTGAGGTGACAAAGTACTTAATTTAG